AAGAGTTGCTTAGGGCCTCGCTGTGGCTTAGACTGGCTTTGAACTCACGATCCTCCTGCCTCAGCCTCCCCAGTCTCTGGGATGATGGAGGTCCAGCCTGAGAACTCCTCTTCAATGCTCTCTACATCTCTGTCACAGCCAACTTTTATCCCTGTCTTAAGCATCATCTCAGGAAACACTTCCTCCAGGAAGCCTTCCTGTCCATCACCAATGCAGGCCGGGTTAGAGCTGGGTGCCTGTCCTCTGCACTGCCGCAGCCACCAGCGTGGTCACAGGACCCACCAACCAGGCAGCATTGCGAGTGACCATCTCCCTCTCCCCCCCCCCCAATGGAATAAGAGTTCTTGGAGGTGGAGGACATGCTATGTTGGTCATGAGGGCTCCCAAATTAGCACACAATAGACGCTGAATGTATATTTGTTCAATGAGTCATGAATAAGTAAACGGAAATAAATACACTTAAAACTCATCAAATGCAACTGGGACACCTTTCAGGGCAAAGCTGAGACCTCGTGGAGCGGAGGGAGACCTCCCAGCTCTATGCAGCAAATGGTAAGCTGGTTCAGAGATCAACGCTGTTGTGACCGTTAACTCAGGATTCAGCCCACCATATGCATTTGATTTTGATCAAATCCATTTTTGTTTGATAATATAGAGGACTAAATAAATATGGAATGGGTGTGAACCTGAGAACCTCCAGAGGGCGAGGACTAAAATTGACAGTGACCACAGAGGAGGGGCTTGCTGGGGGATGTGGGTGTCTCTGAAGACTTCCCAGTGGGTGCTGGGCAGTGTCCTTGGGGAAGGTGAGACTCAACGTTCACATCTGGTCAATACTGCTGCCGCGATTCACTGCGCCTTTCTGCTACCTTGTGCCTCTTGAAAAAGCACAGTCCCGGGCTGGGATTGTGGCTCAGCGGTAGAGCACTCACCTAGCATGGGTGGGACCCGGGTTCAATTCTCAGCACCACATAAAAATAAAGGCATTGTGTTGTGTCCATCTACAAAAAAGATTCTTTCTCTCTCTCTCTCTCTCTCTCTCTCTCTCTCTCTCTCTCTCCCTCTCTCTCCTTAAAAAAAAAAAGAGCACAGTCCTCCTCAAAGATAGCTTGACAGTGTGGAGATTCCTCAGAAAACTTGGAATGGAACCACCATTTGACCCAGCTATCCCACTCCTCAGTTTATACCCAAAGAATTTAAAATCAGCACATTATAGTAATGCAGCCACATCAATGTTTATAGCAACTCAATTCACAACAGCTAAGCTATAGAACCAACCTAGGTGCCCTTCAACAGATGAATAGATAAAGAAAATGTGGCATATATACCCAGTGGAATATTACTAAGCCATAAAGAAGAATGAAATCATGGCATTTTCTGGTAAATGGATAAAACTGGAGACTATCGTGCTAAGTGAATAAGCCAATCCCCAAAAACCAAAGGCTGGATGTTCACTGTGATATGTGGATGCTGATTCATAATGAGAGTTAGGAGGGAAGGATAGAAGTTTATTGGATTAGACCAAGAGGAATGAAGGGAAGGGAGGGGGATGGGAATAAGAAAGACATCAGAATGAATCAGGCCTAACTTCCCTATGTTCATGTGAATACACAGGCAATGAAACTCCACATCACGGACAACCACAAGAATGGGCTCCTCATCAGAATGAGTTGTGATCCTTGTATGTATAACATGTCAAAATACACTCTGCTGTCATGTCTATCTAAAAAGAACACATTTAAAGAATTTTTAAAGGTAGCTTAAAACGCACCACTCGTGTGCTGGCAGAGCAGAGCTGGGCATTCTGTGGGATTTGGAAAATGAAGTTTGGAACCAGCTCGAGGATTCAATTTCCAGCCTGAGCTGCATTGTGGGTAATGAAGAGACTAGGGTCAGGGCTGTGAGGTGGACATAGGGGACCTGCCTCAGAACCTGCAGATAACGTGATGAGGAGGTGAAATCAGGAAGGTTTCTGGGAGTGGAGACCATGAACTGGACCCCGGGCCCCGCTCCGCGGTGAGTGCGCGCTGGGAGAATGCTGTGTGGAATGCTTCAGCACCACGGACAGCTCTTGGGTGGCCGCCCCCCCAGAACTGGCCTTTCCTAACTTGGCAGCATGTTTTAAATGTGCAAGTGATATAATAGCCATTAATTTAAAAAAGAAAGGGAAGGGACCTAGTGTGCACCTTTCTCCCCAGAGGACCGTATGTATGTCTCCTTTTCATGAAATGAGACACACAGAGGTCCAAACCTCCCGGGGAACCTCACCAGCCATCTCAGCTGAGATGACCCATGAAATGCCTGACCTAGGTCTCCTCCAAAGCACTCCTTGCCCAGAGGAGGTGGGGTGGGTACCGGGGATTGAACACAGGGCACTGGACCCCTGAGCCCCATCCCCAGCCCTATTTTGCATTTTATTTAGAGACAGGGTCTCAGAGAATTGCTTTGGGCCTCGCTGTTGCTGAGGCTGGCTGTGAACTGCTATCCTCCTGCCTCAGCCTGGAATACGAGACTGTGTTGGAGAAGAGTACGGCAGCGGCAGCCCCCGCGAGGATCCAGTCTTTGCAAGGCTCAGGCCAGTCTTAGCCCCAACCCAGGTTTAGGAAGGTCCGTCTAGATGTCAGGACCAGATGTGGAGAAGTCACCGCCAGCGTCCATCAGTCCCCCACGGGAGGAAGCAAGACAGGAACAGCAGTGTGGCTGGCATCAGGACATCTGGGGAGACCTGAGCCGTGGCCGTCAACCTGGATATCTACTTCTGGCATTTTCTACCCCCCAGGCCCCTTATGAACTTGACCTCACTCCATCGGCCCCACCGCCCTGTGAAGCAGGAACTGCTGACCCTCTTGTGTCATGAGGCATCTCTGGCTCAGAGAATGGAGCTCAGGAGGCCCAGGAACTAGCCAGGAGTCCACAGGGCCTGGGTGTGGACCTCCAGGGCCGACTCCAAGGTCTTGGGGCTTCTACTCTGCTCCGCCGCCGGTTGCAACTCCCCGGGGCCAGTCAGACTCGCAACCCTTGGGCAGAGAGCAGGAGCCGCTGGCCTGTCCCGGGGCCAGGCTGAGCTCCTCCTCCTGGTACCCAGGAGCCCCTGCCCAATGGCCAGGTGGCGGCTCTACAGCTGCCTTCCTTCTCCCGCGCTCACAGCTGAAAACCTCATCTTCTCAGGTCAGCCTAGAGCCCT